CTCGTTACGCAGTCGTTATGAGTTCGTAACGACAGTTGCGCAGCTTTTTTACCATATAAAATATTTGCGCGATTGTCATTATGAGCACATAACGAGTTACAGAATTCCACTGCAGCCCCTGTATTCTGTAACTCGTTATGCAATCGTTATGTGCTCATAACGACAGTTGCGCAGATATTTTATATAGTAAAAAAGCTGCGCAACTGTCGTTATGAACTCATAACAACTGCATAACGAGTTACAGAATACAGGGGCTGCCCCTGTATTCTGTAACTCGTTATACATTCGTTATGTGTTCATAACGTCAGTCGCGCAGCTTTTTTACTATATAAAATATCTGCGCAACTGTCGTTATGAGCACATAACGATCGCATAACGAGTTACAGAATTCCACTGCTGGGATGGAAAAAAAACAGATCTTTTATTCCCCTGCGGGAGCAGTGGCGAATTTACACATTTTTGCATCCTTGGCGCTCCTTTAACAAGATACTTAATTGGCGGCTCTTTCAGATGAATGAACAATAAAATAAAAGTTGATTATTGTCGAAAAGTATCACTTTTTCGCTAAAGCGTCAAAATTTTATTTTTATGCACCAAAACACTACTTATTCAAGGTGTCGCATTGGCGAAAATGCATTACACTCTAAGCAGAATAAATTATTATAATATCAAAATGACGTAAAAATCCATTAAAAATGATCCATTAAAACTCATTTTTCAATTACTTTCGATTTCTTTTAATGTCATTTTGATGTCATTGCGACTTGTTCTATTTGGAATCTGCACAAATATAAAATTAACTTTAATCCCGATTCCTAGACGGATGACATCTATAGGGCTGCGTTCCGTTTCACGCATGATGCATCATTTATTCTTGTTTAACATTCGATGAATAATAAGGATAAATAATGCAGCATGCGTATCATGCGTGAAACGGGACGCAATCTAGAAGGATAGCCCTTCCATGCTTCTAGAAGTAGAGTGGAGTACAAAGAGAGTGGCGCCAATGTGCCTAATGCTGATTAGCTCTGCCATTAAGTGTCCTTACGGTTAATTAGAAGGAAGACAACGTTAAAGAAAGAAGAGGTTAAGACGAGAAGTTGCGTCATAGATATAGGAGACAAAATGGCGACTTCCGGTTAATTGGTGTCACTCTCTTTATACCCGCTCTTATTTAGAAGGATAGCACTCCTATAGGCCCGGACCTCGCAGGCCTCTGTCTATATGTCTGATCAGAATATATATATATATATATATATATATATATATACATATAAATGTGTATTTATATATAGATGTCGAAAGATAAGAAAACCGAAAAGATAAATGCAACGATAACTGCGTGAAAGTTTAGGAAATATTTAAAGAATTCAGAAAGATCCATTTGTCTTATAAGACAAGAATCCCGAGAGAAATCTGCGAAATGTAGTATAATATAGATTTCTCCGTTCGGGCAGAAGTTTCTATTGCACAACAAAAATTTTAGATTTTTTGTTACAAAAATTGATTTCGTTGCGAAGCACAAGATAAGACTTCATAGTACAATTTCTCATTTTTTCTAATTGGCTATTGTGAATTTTATATCCGTTTTATGCAACTGAACGTGTTACATCTTCTACATTCGAAAATAAAATAGATATATGGTTAAGCTCGTATCGAAGTACGTAATGAAGATGGAAGATTGTAGAATTAATTAGAAAATTCGAATTTAATTAGAAATTTAATTTTAATTTATTTCGATTCTGATTAATTAAATTTTAATCTACAACTTGCAATTATCCTGAATATCTTGCCGGGCGTAGTCTGAAATCGTTATTTTGAAGATTAAAATTTTATTGAAATTTGACCAACGGAACGTATAAAAAAGGAAATATTTCTTTATCCTGATGATTAGTCAAATTCCATGCATTGCTTAATAGATATACATATAGTAATCTGATACGAACTTGAACCTGATCAGGTTTATGGGCTGTACTGTAAACATATATAATTGGGAGAAAAAAGAGAAGAATGACAAGATATAAAAGTATAAAAAGATAAAAACAAACCTTTTTTTATCTCATGGTCAGATTCCTATATTTATCTCTAATAGCATTTTATCGGTCTGAGAGCAGGTTTGCTAACTTCGACCTGTGTTCGATTAATGATAATTAACGTTGCATTATGCTCTACTATTGGTAAAGCATGTGACATCATATTATAATTAATCTCGGGCTGAAAAAAATGCTATAAAATGTATTTTTCGCTAGACCTACAGTGTGGTTACGTTTAGCAGAAAAAGTTTTGCAGTTATTGTAAAACTCTTTAATACGATTAGTTATACATTTAGATCTAACAAAAAACTAAGAGCAAAAACCAATCATATTAAAGAATCTGAATTATTACAGTTACTTTTTTACATCCATTGTTAGAGGAAGAATGCGTTAGTTAAATTATTATGCATATTCGAATCTGATTGGTCAAGCACACCATATAAATATACCAACAGCCACTATTGAGTAAGCTTGTTTTGCTCAATTAAAATTTATAGTAACAAACTTATCTAATCAGGGAAAATGTAAAATATATTAAATTGTGCCAATAATATATCGTAGATTATTAAATAAAAAAGAATTTTTTATTTTTTTTCTTTATTAACCGATCAAAACTAAAAAAATTCAAAATTATAAATCAATTCAATTCCACGAGTCTCCTGTATAACAATCCAGAAATTTTGAACCTTTGAACTGCTGACAAATTTCAATCTGGCGAAGTTCGAAATTTCGATTTTGAAATCATAATTCCATCACGGGCATCACGGTGCATATCTGTGAGTAAAACAGGTCTCCACGCCATATAAATGACTTAATTTCTCCAGTGTGCCAACAGATGGCGCGCTAATCGATCCCGTCACCTCGCGCCACGGCGCCTCGGCATTCATTCTTCATTGTTGTTGTTATTGTTCTTATTGCCATTTTCGCGTCAATTGTGTTCGAATTACCGGCTATCTCAACGAATATTCCAGGGTATTCTAATTAAACGGAAACTCCAATTAAAATAGATCAAATTGGCGCGTAATTATGTCAAAGATAACAGGTTACGACACGCACGATGACGGTCCAGGATTCGTGGGCATTAGATTTTGTCAGGAGTGCAATAATATGTTGTATCCGAAGGAGGATAAAGAGAACAAAGTACTCATGTACGCGGTAAGTATACATGACCGTTCCTGGCGACAGAATCTCTTTAATATCGTAAGAAAAAAAGAAAAAAAAGGAACGAGGTGTTTTGAATTGCACGACGGTGCGAATCGTGCGAGAAGGAATTGTAACGTCAAAATATTGCCTGTTTCAGTGCAGAAATTGCGATTTTAAGCAACTGGCGGACAGCAATTGCATCTACGTGAACAAGATCATGCACGAAATAGAGTAAGTTGAAATTAAGTGGCTTGAAGTTAATTAACATCTATGTAAACATTGTTAAATGTTAGACCAATTTCCACTAAAGTTTTTGTAAACACAAACTAACAGGCACATTACATTAATATTATTATTTACCACTCAACATTCCAAGTATAACAGTTATTGACAATAAATAATAGTTATATTGTTGAGTAGAAAATTATAACGATGTAATGTTACTGCTATTTAGTTTTTATTAGAGCTTTATTCTTTTTCAAAAGAAAGTTTTGAATTTGGTGTACACTAATGCAATAAATTGGAGTAAAACTATATTTGTTTTACTCCAACTTATTGCACTAGTTTAGAACCAGTTTAGATTTCCTTGAAAAATAATAGATCTTAGAATATAACGTGTGAGAGAAAGAAGAACGTATCATTTTGTGCACTTGTATCTCTGTTATACAAAATGATATTCCTTTGTTTAGCGAGCTATAAGCTCATTGCAAAGCTCAAGAGAATTTGTGAAATTAATTCAAGACCTGTGCTGTATATGCTCGAATCACGTTTGAATCTTGCGCTCACTGCTTATTACTTTTTTTTTCAGCGAACTAACTCACATCGTCGCTGATGTGATATCGGATCCTACATTGCCGAGAACAGAGGAACATCCATGCCCAAAGTGCAATCACAGAGAAGCAGTATTTTTCCAGGCGCAAACTAGACGGGCTGAGGAGGAAATGAGATTGTATTATGTATGTACGAATCAGCACTGCTCCCACAGATGGACGGAATAAAGCTTGTATGGCTACGAACGTCCGTGTACCTTTATCCTTCTACTTGCTATTTGTAACTTATAGTTCTTGTAATTTTGTAAATTGTACAAGTTGCGTTTGTATGATTGGAGGAGATGCATTGTAATTAATGTAACATGAATAAAAATTGTACGTAATAAAAGTAATGAATAGAAAGAACCAAAGAACGTTCGTGCACAAGGGGATGATAAATTACCGTAAGGCTCAACGCTCGGCTCGTAATCTCTACTCTCTTGCTGAGCATTTATCCCTCTGGCCGCTGAAGCATGCACTTGGCTTTACGGACCGGGGAGTCGTCTTTTGCGAGTCGTGTTTCCTAGCCTCAGCGTTTTACAGGGCTACGTCGTGCAATCGCGACACATCTCTCCAGGGCGCGTTATCATGGCTTTTCGCAAGGGCAGGAGATTTTTCGTGGCATCGCGCGACCGGAGGCTTTCGTCGAAGGATCGGAATATCTTCGTCGAATTTATCCTGCCGATCGTACCGTCATCGTGAAAAGAGGGTAGATGAATACGTTGCGAATTCGCGATGTAGCCACGATCTGTAGATACCCTGGGACTACTCCCACACTCCCAGCTGTTTATCAGGGCCATGCACAGCCATACTGAATTTACTCGCTATATGCAGTACCGCAAGTAGCTCCCTTAGTTTCCTGCGTCACGTGATCATTTATATAATCATGGGTTTCTTTCACCGTGATATCCTATTATTTGCTATAGGCTGTGTTTCAAAATTCACTGTCAATGTTAAGAATCTATGGTACCACACGTAAAACAAACAATAGATTTTCAGCGCTGATGGTAATCAATTTTAAATACAGTCTATCAAGTCATCAAGAGACGTATTCAAATTCCAATCTGAATGCTCTCCGAGTGTCATGTTATTCTTATTTAACACTCTGTAAACAACAAGGATGGAGTGATACCTGGGTGGTACTAGTGCCAAGGATCGTTAAGTTAACCAGTGCCACTAGGGGTACATTCCATTTATTTGGCACTCGCAACGCTCATTGAATCATTTCAATGAGCAATCTCTGATTAATATTTTGATTTTCTACTTTCGTTTGTAATGATTTATTTTAAAACAAATGTAAAACAGGATACAGTAAAAGAAATAACTTTTGTTAAATAGTATAAATTATTTTGCTTTCAATGCACGAGAAAAAAAAATGCATAGTTATATGTAGACTGCGGATATTTATGAAAAATATTTAACTGAATATTTTGCATAAAATGCATATTTTGCATAAATTACATATTTACAGATGGCAATCTCAACCTTTTTACTTTATTTTTTAATTTAACTCTTTAACGAACAACGATCGATTGCTAAAACTGTCCGATGGTTAATATTCAGTGTTAAGTGTTTTACATAAATATCCACAGTCTAGTTATATGCAAAGTATATAAAGGATGATTTGTTTTAATCTTAATAGACAAATATTTCGAAAATATGCAATTTTATCAAAAAATATTTCAAATAAAAATTGTGTGTAGTTAGAGTTGTCAACCTCTCTATACTATACAACTTTTATTTGGAATGTTTTTTTTTATTAAATTACATATTTTTATATATATAAAATATTTGCCTATTAAAATTAAAATGAATCACCCTGTATGATAAACCAGGATCGAGTAACCAACCTTTTTATCTGAGACGCCTGATAGAAAGGTTAGCTATTCTTGATCTGTGTATACATACTGCTACATTCGGACAGCACATTATCAGTGCAATTATGAGTTGAAGCGTAGATATTGATAAAAATTATCGATAGCTGCAAGTTGTTTACATAAGTAAGTAACAGAAGCGGTGGATAAATAAGTGAATTCGTTGTATCTAATTGAGTTAAGGTCTACTCAAGTGACGTGAACAAATCATGGGGCTGCATATAGCGTTACTGATACTTGGAGTAACGATACTCCAACAGGGAATATCCCTTGAAGTACATGCACCACGTGTCGGTAAGAGCTAATTTTTTATTTCAATATGTCGCTTAATAATTTACAAAAGATTTGAATTCATTTTTATGTTTGACTTTTTCTCTTTTAGCCATTATAGGGGGTGGTATTGGCGGTGCGTCCGCCTCACATTTTCTCACTAAATTGTTAAAGGAATCTGTGGAAATCGATTTGTACGAGGCCAAGACTATCGGCGGACGATTGGCGACCATCAAGATTGATAAAGATGAAGTCGAAGCTGGTGGTTCAATTATACATTCTATGAACATGTATATGCAGAGATTTGTTAAACTCTTGGGTAAGTATAGACAGCAATTTTCTGTTTCCTTAGCTCAAATATACTAGTTGCATATGTCCATTTCTATTAATATAAATTAACTTTAATCTTAATTTAATTTATTTTTTATCTTTTTCTAATTCTTGGCACTGTATATTTATTTCTGCCAATGTAGGGTAATTTTGATCTTGATGTAACTTACTTTTTATCTTTTTTCAATCCCCTAAGAAATAGAAAAAGATAAAAAATAATTCTTTGTCTGAAAGGCATATACCACGAACACCAGGTAGTAGTGGCGACTATTACAATTCTTTTATTAAACACATGAATTCAAAATAAACGTTTCGGTCCCAATCGGACCATCTTCAGTATTAACAGTACTATTATAATTAATTAGA